ACAAATAGGTGCCCTAGAGAAAGTAGTGCCCGGTCCGTATCACTCCGCTATTTTTCCTCGGCAAGCAATGTGCTCCGAGACTTGAGAACATAGTTCAGTATGTTTTTGTAGTTTGAAGTGGTTTCCGTGCCTAAAAAAATGCTTTAACGGTATTTTATTGTTTATTAACATCGTAGGAATGTTTTAAAAACGTTTAAAGGAAAGTCCAGAAAATACAGAAATACCGAAACTATAAACACGAAATGACAGGTTAAATCGTAGTTATAATAGTCAATCAGCTGCTCATAGTATTATTATCTTTAAGTGTTGCCAACCTATTTCCAAGCGTACACGGATTACGTGCATAATAGAACCACGCTGTTTTGTGTTGTTTCGTTGGAATCCTGATGTGCGGCAAAGTATAAACCGTACGACAAAGTATAAACCGTACGGCAAAGTATAAATATGCAGCAATTAGCAGCTTTCTGTACTATAAACAGTACAAGGAAGCAAACTTTGTCGGGTGACTGTAGGTAAAAAAGATTTGATTTTGTTTTGTCAACTGTCCAAAAACAATCAACTCTTCAAACAAGGTCTCAAATATGTAATGACTCAGTAAGATGACTTATAACTCTTGTTATGAAATATACTATTACCGTGCAAAATCATTAATTTACTCTGAAAGAAGTTTAGTATTGCAGATACATTAATCCACTTTCAAACTCCGTACTGCTCACCCTTACTCGTTGAATAAGTTACATAAACACTAATTCCTTCACTTATGTTTTGTCTAATATTGAAACTTATACTTTTAATAGCAAATGAGTTTTTGGAACTTCTTATTTTTTACTTGAAATGTCTGGGATGTGTTGGTGAATTCAGTCAAACCAGGCCTCTCATTTACTACTCTCCTCATACGCATAAAATATCATATTACTAATTGTCTCATCCTCCCGTTTTCAATATTTCTTCTTTGAACATAAGGCATTTTCTGTTCTTCCAACAACATTTTTTAACTGTTTTACCTATAGTGGGGAGGCGAATGGCCAAAATTCCAAAGTTGGCTCACCCCGAAAGGTAACCGGTGAACACTATGCTATATGATATTATATAGTAGTAGAGATGATATTTTGACCGGTGTTCACTCTGTATGAGTGGGACTCTCTTTTCTGGACGCCATTTTCCAAAATGGCGGATGTCACTGTTTGATCTTTGTATAACTCGAGCAAAAATAATCCGATTTTGATGAAATTTGGTATAAAAGTTTAAACTTACATTTATTCAAATGAGTTCGCGAGTCAGCATGATCGGACCATGGGAGTGGGGGTTTATGGGGAGTTTTATGGGGTAAAAATGGGATTTTCTTTTTTTTTTTTGTCCTCAAAGCACGGAATTTTCCAATTTCTCTCTAAACCATTTTAAAGAACTTAAAAAAACAAATAATTTAGTATGTTAAAGTTTTTATGTACCATTATTGGTTACGGAGAAAATTCAAAAAAAAATAATTTAAAATTCCCATGTTATTCTTACGGAGGATATTGTCAACCCTTGTAGTTTGATTGTTTATGGATATATTTTGATCAAACTTGGTAAACTTATTTATTTATACTAAGCTATTAATATTCTACTAACATTCACACTTTATTAGCCTCCCTGTAGCAGCAAACCTAGGTACTCTTTAAACCTAATGCTATTTCAATTCAACTAATTTAAAAACAAATCAGGCAAATGGAAATTCGCTTAGTCTGCAGGTTTGCTGTGATGGGGGTATTTTATTCTTGACATTTCTTCCTAAACCTACTGGTTCAGGAGATTTAAAAAGCAGTTAGTTAAAGTTAGGATTTCCTCGATGATAAATACATTGATCCGTTTTAACTGTCACCCTAATGTATCCCGTTGGGCTGTCGCACTTTTCTATATATACAATTTATCTTCTATTTTAAAAATAATGGACCCCAATACAATCAGACATTAAATTAACTTTTTTTTAATTATTGTCAGTTATTACAACAATATTTCTTTTAACATAAATAATTATATTTCTTCCCATTAAACATGAAAACACTAGTAAAAGGTTCTTTGTGCAGGGTCTAACTCACCTTTTAGTATACATAAAAAAATATATATTCAAGAGTTATACTATTTCCTCCTCATTGTCCTGATTTGAATATATATTCTTACATTTCTCTAGAGAACATTCACACACTTTGAGACATGGTAGCTTGTTTATTGTACACACACACTTAGATCGAGAACAATCTGTAGTACATCCGCACTGAATGAGGTGTTTGTATGTCTCAAAGTGTGTGGATGTTCTCTAGAGAAATGTAAGAATATATATTCAAATCAGGACAATGAGGAGGAAATAGTATAACTCCATTATTTTTAAAAATAGAAGATAAATTGTATATATAGAAAAGTGCGACGGCCCAACGGGATACATTAGGGTGACAGTTAAAACGGATCAATGTATTTATCGTTGAGGAAATCCTAACTTTAACTAACTGCTTTTTAAATCTCCTGAACCAGTAGGTTTAGGAAGAAATGTCAAGAATAAAATACCCCCATCACAGCAAACCTGCAGACTAAGCGAATTTCCATTTGCCTGATTTGTTTTTAAATTAGTTGAATTGAAATAGCATTAGGTTTAAAGAGTACCTAGGTTTGCTGCTACAGGGAGGCTAATAAAGTGTGAATGTTAGTAGAATATTAATAGCTTAGTATAAATAAATAAGTTTACCAAGCTTGATCAAAATATATCCATAAACAAGCAAACTACAAGGGTTGACAATATCCTCCGTAAGAATAACATGGGAATTTTAAATTATTTTTTTTTTTTTTTTTTTCTCCGTAACCTATAATGGTACATAAAAACTTTAACATACTAAATTATTTGTTTTTTTAAGTTCTTTAAAATGGTTTAGAGAGTATTTGGAAAATTCCGTGCTTTGGGGACAAAAAATAAGAAAATCCCATTTTTACCCCATAAAACTCCCCATAAACCCCCACTCCCATGGTCCGATCATGCTGATTCGCGAACTCATTTGAATAGATGTAAGTTTAAACGTTTATACCAAATTTCATCAAAATCGGATCATTTTTGCTCGAGTTATACAAAGATCAAACAGTGACATCCGCCATTTTGGAAAATGGCGTCCAGAAAAGAGAGTCCCACTCATACAGAGTGAACACTGGTCAAAATATCATCTCTACTACTATATAATATCATCTAGCATAGTGTTCACCGGTTACCTTTCGGGGTGAGCCAACTTTGTTATTTTACATATTTTACTATATTTGCCTCCCCACTACTACTGAATATTACAAACATTAATATTTACTCCCAAAAAGCTAATAAGTTACTTTTTATAAACAGCTGTTTTTTGTTTTTAAAATTGTTCTATGCATTTCTTATGTAGAAAACCCGACCTTTGAGAGAGCCCTACGCCCTTAGGAGTAGGAATTTAAAAATTATAAAACCTTATTGCAAAACTACATATTGAGACGAATCTTTTGACACCTTAAACGTTGAAATTGGTCCACTAATAAGGGAGGAGTTGCGTTAACAAAAACGGCTTCACGTATTATATATATAGATTCAAAGATATTTACATTACTAAAAGATATAGTCTGTTTACCTAATCTAACCTAACCTAACCTAACTTAACCTAACCTAACCTAACCCAACCAAACACAACACTATTTAAAACACTACAATATATACACACAATTTATAGTCAGCGTCCTCCTCCTCAGGTACCTGTGGAGACCCGGGCTCTTTCCATGCTTAAGATTAGTGAACCTTTTTGGGGATTAAAATTTCGGGCTCTTTTCATGTGCTCCGGCTACCCTTACTACTTCCTTCACCATTTCCTACATCATGGGCCTGTTTTCCTCCCTTCCTATAGCATATTAGGATTGCATATACCCTAATCTAATCGTCATTAACGGTTCCCACACTCCGTACTGCTTGCCTTTACTACTTCCTTCACCACTTCCTACGTCGTGGACCTGTTTCCCTCCCTTCCCATAGCATTTTTGGATTGTAGATACCTTAATCTAATCGTCGTTAACAGTTCACACACTCCAGACAGCTCGCCTTGACTACTTCCTTCACAACTTCCTACGTCGCGGACCTGTTTCCCTCCCTTCCCATAGCATATTAGGATTGCAGATACCCTAATCTAATCGTCATTAACAGTTAACACACTCCGGACTACTCACCTTTACTACTTCCATTACCCCTTCCTACGTCGCGGACCCGTTACCCTACTCTAATCGTCATTAACAGTTCTCACACTCTGGACTGCTTGCCTTTACTATTTCCATAACCCCTCCCTACGTCGCGGACCCGTTTCCCTCCCTTCCCCCGCAATTTTAGGATTGCAGATACCTTAGTCTAATCGTCATTAAGAGTTCCCACACTCCGGACTACCGTACTTGAATTTACTACTTCCTTCACCGTCATGGACCTGTTTTCCTCCCTTCTCATGGCATTTTAGGATTGTGGTTACCTTAATCTAATCCCCATTAACAGTTCCTACACTCCAGACTGTTTACCTTTACTACTTCCTTCACCACTTCCTACGTCGCGGACTTGTTTCCCTCCCTTCCCATAGCATTTTAGGATTGCATATACCTTACTCTAATTGTTATAAACAGTTACCTCACTCCGGACAGCTCGCCTTGACTACTTCTTTCACAACTTGCAATATACCATTTTAGAATTGCAGATACATAAATGCCACAGACAGTTCCCACACTCTGCACTGATACCCTTACTACTTCCTTTACCATTTCCAAGTCGCGTGTGTTATGTGTGAGGTTGTTCCACCAAAGACATATATTTTAGTAAAAAAGATTAACATAGTGATCTAATTGACAAATGAATTGCTTGGAACGATTGTATCGGACTAATGCAATGAAATGTTAATGACAGTTTTTCGTTTTCAGGGATGCCTTGCGGCCGTCATCAGGCCAGATCAACCCAAGGAGGAGGCTCGCCAGTGTGTCGTGTTCAACGTGCCTCACATCTTATGTGCTCCTGACGTCACCAAAGTCTCAGTGACGCCATACTACGAGTACCTTACACGTCCACACTTCACCAACCTACTGGGTCAAGAACGCTCTTTTCCTCTTCATGAAATATATGGCGCAGGAGTACCATGCAGAGTAGAATGTTGCCGTCCCTCTTCCGAAAGTCACCATCACTCAGAGCATTCGAAACATATCTCGAAAGAGAATTCGAAAGAAGGAATAACACATGTTCAACATGATAAGACGAAAGAGATTTCTCGGAGTGAGAAGCAAATTGGAGAGAAAACGAAACTAAATCAAAATGTCGTTTCGGGAAACGATCAGGTAAAGAAAACCCATGAACATTCTCGGAGTGGTCATGATTCGTACCGAATTCCTCATAAAGAAGAAGGCTACTGTTGTGATCATGGCGACTACTTTTACTCTACTCATGGGAATTGTTCCAATTGGTGTTATGATTATAATTCAGGATATCCCTATGATTCTGGGATAGACCATCGCCATCATCAACACGACCACGACAACATGCAGCATGGACAGCACGACCATCAGCATAGACACCACGATCATTGGCAAAGACAAAAAGGACATCAACATGGACACCATGGTCAAAATGAAAATTACAGTCATGAGCATGAACACAACGTCCATGAGTATAAACATCACGGTCCACATGGACACCACGGCCATGAGCATAAACACCACGGTCCAAATAGACATCACGGTCCAAATAGACACCACGGTCCGAATAGACACCACGGTCCAAATAGACACCACGGTCCAAATAGACACCACGGTCCAAATAGATACCACGGTCAACAGGGAAATCACAGTCATGACTATGAACACAACGACCATGAGTATAAACACCACAGTCATCATGGACACCACGGCCATGAGCATAAACACCACGGTCAAAAGCCTGGTCACCACGAACAACATGGACACCACGGTCAACATGGAAATCACAGTCATGAGCATGAAGACAACGACCATGAGTATAAACACCACGGTCAACATGGACACCAGGGCCATGAGCATAAGCACCACAGTCAACATGGTCACCACGGCCATGAACATAAACACCCCGGACAACAAGGACACAACGGTCATGAGCATAAACACCACGGTCAACATGGACGTCAACATGGACGTCAACATGGACACCACGGTCAACATGGATACCACGGTCAACATGGACACCGCGGTCAACATGGACGTCACGGTCAACATGGATACCACGGTCAACCTGGACACCAAGTTCAACATGAACACCACGGTCAACATGGACACCACGGTCAGCATGGAAATCACGGTCAACATGGACACCACGGTCAACATGGACACTACGGTCAACATGGAAATCACGGTCAACATGGAAATCACGGACAACATGAACACCACGGCCATGAGCATGGACAACATGGTCAACATGGACACCACGGTCAATATGGACACCACGGTCAACATGGACACCACGGTCAACATAGACACCACGGCCATGAGCATGAACACCACGGCCATGAGCATGGACAACATGGTCAACATGGACACCACGGTCAATATGGACAACACGGTCAACATGGACACCGCGGTCAACATGGACACCACGGTCAACATGGACACCACGGTCAAAATGGAAATCATGGCCATGAGCATGAACACCACAGTCATGCGCATGAACAACATGGTCAACCTCGACACCACGGTCAGCATGGAAATCACGGTCAACACGGACACCACGGTCAACAAGGACACCATGGTCAACAAGGACACCATGGTCATGAGCATAAACACCACGGTCAACCTCGACACCACATTCAACATGGAAATCACGGTCAAGATGAACACTACGATGAACAAGGACACCACAGTCAACATGGACACTACGTTCAACATGAATACCACGGCCATGAGCATGAACACCACAGTCATGCGCATAAACAACATGGACACCACGATCACGAATATAGCTGTGAACACAACGATGAGTCCTGTCAACCTACTTCTATTGATACCGATTATGAATATAGCCATCACCAGTTGAAAAAGTCTAATCACAGATCAAATTATCCGAGGTATGTAAATTTGGATTGTGATGACACATCAGATGTGTCAGATTCTATACATCCGACCAAAGATTTTGACATTGATTTTATGGACAAGTACTACAGAAAACAACTGCATCGTTGCAATAAACACCAATCTAAATCACGAGGTTACGGAGAGCACCACAACGGACACCATGGCGAGCCTAGACACCACAACGAACCCCATGACAAGCCTGGACACCACAAAAAACATAATGGCAAGCCTGGACACAACAACGACGAGCACCATGGCAAGCCTGGACACCACTACGGACACCATGGCAAGCCTAGACACCACTACGGACACCACGGCAAGCCTAGACACCACAAAGAACATAATGGCAAGCCTGGACACCATGGCAAGACTGAACACCATGACAGGCCTGAACACCATGGCAAGCCTGAACACCATGGCAAGCCTGAACACCATGGCAAGCCTGAACACCATGGCAAGCCTGAACACCATGGTAAGCCAGAACACCATGGCAAGCCTGAACACCATGGTAAGCCTGAACACCATGGTGGATACGGACACCATGGCAATTCTGGACACCACGGCGGACACCAGCCAGAACACCATGACGGCCACCAGCCTGGACACCCCGACGGACACAAGCCTGGACACCATGGCAAGCCTGAACACCATGGCAAGCCTGAACACCATGGTGGACACGGACACCATGGCAAGCCTGGACACCCCGATGGACACAAGCTTGAACACCATGGCAAGCCTGAACAGCATGGCGGACACGGACACCAAGGCAAGCCTGAACACCATGGCAAGCCTGGACACCACGACGGATACGGACATCATGGCAATCCTGGACACCACGGCGGACACCAAGGCAAGCCTGAACACCATGGCAATCCTGAACACCATGGCAAGCCTGGACACCACGACGGATACGGACATCATGGTAATCCTGGACACCACGGCGGACACCAGCCAGAACACCATGAAGGTCACCAGCCTGGACACCCCGACGGACATAAGCCTGGACACCACGACAATCACCATGTCAAGCCTGGACACCACGACAATCACCATGTCAAGCCTGGACACCACGACAATCACCATGTCAAGCCTGGACACCACGACAATCACCATGTCAAGCCTGGACACCACGACAATCACCATGTCAAGCCTGGACACCACGACAATCACCATGTCAAGCCTGGACACCACGACGAACCCCATGGCCACATCAATCCCCATGTGGACACTGTTCACAATACTGATAGTCATAGCCATGACCATGTTAAAACTACAGACGAAGTCGTCCATCATGAAAACTCAAAAGAGAACGATAAGAAAATTGTTTGAGAAATAAAATAAAACCACGTTGACTATACACATTTGGGGTGTATATTGAACAATAGTCTGTCTTCTCTGGGACTATTTTAATGTCGTTTGATGAATTGAAAATTTACATTATCAAGTTAATTAAATAACCGTAGTTAATGCATCAATGGAATAGGCGTAGCTGTACTGCATAGTTGCTAAAAATAATCATCATGCAAATTTTGATAAAACATTTTTTGTGAGCTGTTGGATATTTAATTTTGACGATTCGTTTTATCTTAAATTTTATCTTTTCCTACCATTAGCCAGCAATACTTATCTAATAAAAAAATATCTAAGATTTTAAATTATTTAGACACAGATAATTAGTTAACGCATGCCTTTTTATTTTCAAAATTATCGTTGGTACAGAGCTATATTGTTACCATGATCTGGTACAGGCTACTTCAAAGTAGAATATCCCATGTGGGATAATTTAGGCCTTTACATTCTGTACATTTAGCCATTTAATCGATGAAGTATTGCCCAATTTGGTTTGGTAGATTGGGCACGCAAAACAATGTTATTAATTAGATACATTGCTTACAACAATATTGGTTTTGATTAAAACTGCTTTGTATTTGATATTCAATGTTACAGGTTAAGTGTAAGAAATGGTCCTAACTTCCCTTACTATATAAATAAACAATTTTGCCTCAATTGCTGTCTATTTCTTTTCCTTTTGAACAAAAACTTTAAGTTTGTCGCGATTTATTTCACAAAGATGCATTTCTCATAATGTTTTAGATTTACATAATTTTTGTTTCGATTCTCATTTTCAAAATTGGAAAACCTGTTATAGCACATCTTCCATCCTATATTATAATACGAGCTATGTCTGTTTGTCTGTCTGTCTGTCTGTAATATACATCTCGAAATCCAGCGGAAGGATTTCAACTTAATTTTGGAATTAGAGACATCTAGCCCTAAAAACATGATTGGTGACAGCCACTACCTCAAGAAAATTCGTATTTCACTACACGACTAATTTGAAAATTTAAAACTTTAACATTGGCCTTATGGGTTACAGAGTAACTAATGTTGGTTGAAAAAAATAACAAGAAAAAAGTAAACAAAAGACTTGTTAAAAATGTGTTTATATCAAGCCATCCACAGTACTAGCAAACTACATAATACAGTAAAGTACAAAGGTAAAAATATCATTTGTCCTATTGAGCAAAGATTACACAGAAGATTGCTTGATACAGGGGGAAATAGAGTAAGTGTTGATGAGTGTTTAGTGTTGGTGATTACTTTAAAAGATACAACAGGAAATCTAAATTTCCAAGAGGGCGGAAGTTTTTTCAAGATGGCGGCCGTTCCCCAACTGGGATTTCTTGGGACTATGTGTGGGCCACTCAGGACATTGTTTTAAACATTTCCACCAATATTCAGCCTGTTATAAATGTTGTCCGGGTCATAACCTAATTGCACTGGACTATGCAAGTTTTTTTTATAAACCCTCTCCTAAAGGCACATACCCCAAGGGTTATTTTTATCACACATTTAAAATATTGGACAGAAGTCAGCTGACAAAGAAAGAGATCTTCCCTTCCCCAATAAGGTCAACATTTGAAGCCAAGAAAATATATGAAGTTCAGGGCCATCTCAACAGAAGGTACTAGTGTATTGGGTTAAATATTAATTAAAATCAATGCAGTGTCATAGCAAACAGCTGATTGATTTAGCAATTGACACAGAATATTGTCATTAGTTGGTAAACCATCTCAAAAGTTTGCACCACGTTTTTTGGGTGCAAATTTTTACATTGATGGGAAGTCTATTCTGTGTATATTCAATATTTTCTGTGCTCTCACTCTGTTTTCAAGCACTGGCAGACCAACTAGTTTCGACAAAACTAAAACTTGTGTTAATTTCCTGGGTAAAATAAGAGAAAACACATATATTTGTGTATACAGGCCAACAATGTGCAAATCAAACATCTGCAATGTCGTCTGCTGTAGTCAGCATGCTATCAGTGCAGCACCATCAGCTGTTTGAATCAGCTGTAAAACCCATTGTTGAAGTCTTGGGTTTACTGCAACTTCGCATTCTGTTGACTCAGTTGACAACAGCGTTGTTAAAACAGTGCAGGTTCTGGAAACAGGTGTGAAAACTGTCATTTCTATATAAAGCTTACAACAAGTATCACGATCTTTTTAGTAAACCGTAAGCCAGTTATCAGTTTTTCGATAAAACCTCTTAGTCAGAGAAATATAGGATATGACCTTAAAAAATTTCAAGAAAACGTTTTATGGTTTTATTTTGTAGTGTTGGGTTTGCAGAACGACATACTAAAATTTGCCAAAAATCGGTGCACGAGAAAACCACTAAAATCACAATTTAAAATGGCAGCTTTCCCCAACATTGGAAGATTTTTGAAAAAAGATAGGCTACTACATGCATTTTGTATGAACATTTTTTGAGAAACTGACTTGGGACCACCACCGATATTTATTGGGTCGTTAGCACTTCATTTTCATAGGAAACGCGTTTTTGGGCGCCATCTTGGATCCGCCATATTGGACATAGATATATTTTTTTTTAATTGATGATATGGTTCTGACACATAATTTTAAACTACATTTTTACACTGATTTCAATGCCGAAATCCGTTTTTAAATATCTTTTTCCTACAGTTACCTAACAATGTGCATGTTCTCTCACTGATTTGAGAAAGCAAAGTGGCCAATTCTCTCATCAGTGAGACAATCTTAACATTGTCTCACTCTAAATTACTTTGTCTCACTCACTTCAGATTTGCAACGTGAAGGCACGAAATAGTGAGCGCGTAACATGCAGACAAGGTCGTATGCGCGCGAAATACGTTTGGTAGCACTGGTTGTAAATCAGCTGTTGTACTGTTGTATCATTAAATGTAAGTTAATATTAATATTAAAAGTTCACTTCTGTTTAAAAATATGTCACGTTTCTTTGCCAATTTATTTGTTTTATCGTAACTCTAGGAAAAATATAATGTGCAACTCGAGTGCAAAGTGCAATTGCTCCCTTAGTTGCACAAATAACTATTTTCGTTTAAAAGATATGTTCAAACGAAAACTCTCCCCCATACATTTCTTATAGACGTTTCGTAGTTTGATAATTTTTTTAAATTATTTTTCTTATACCTCCACTATCTCCAGTTCTTATTAACGGTTGCAGTTCGTTCGAGCCTTAAAATATTCAGTATTGTAAGAGCTTCCATTTGATCCCTTGAGCATTAAAATCAGACGAGTTAAAGACCAGCTACGAACCTTAGAACAATATCAATTTTAACTTTTTAGAAATATAGTTTTATTCAAAGACTTATAACTCGGGTTGTTAATACGTCACCAAGTTCTTTCTGGTCTTAAATTACTCTGTAAATGTTTTTCTTTAATTTTATTAATCACTAAATAAAATCTGAAAAATGTAAAATGAGTCATGAATTTCCAATTAACAGTAAAATATTTCTTTTTACTTCGCTTTAAATACCTACATTCGTATGGTCACCATTTCAGTAAAAAGTATTATTAAAGTATCAATGGTAAAAAGTATACTGGTTATGATGAAGGGTATAAATATTATGATTTTTGTGTTTTAAACTTCTAAATGGATGACTAAAAAATGTACATAGTAAAATTTTTAGTAAAACTAATACATACCACCTTTGCCGTCAATTATGGTCCTTGAAGGTTGGAAGATGGTGCAAAGGGTACAATTTAAAAATACATATTTCGGAAGACAAATTTATATTTGGCAAAGGTTTTAGTTTTAACAAACATTCTTAAAATTAGAGTATAAACAAGAATTAGAAACGTAGATTTGTGAATACTATTGCTTTACAATTTTAACAAACCAATTGGAATGAAAATATGCATAATAAACGATGAAATAGTTTGTAGCTTAGTGTTTCGTTGAACTACAGTACTTATTAAATTACTAACTACTTTAAATATTTTTAACTAATCAATCACGTATACTTTACAAATTTGAGTATGTCCAAGACTTAATTTAAAATCAACATTAAATTAGAACGGTGATATTTATTTAAAACGTTACAAATGAATAAATTATTTAACGAAGATAATTATCCACGCACGTAGAAGTTGCTTAAATGTAATACAATAATTTATCGTTACAATAACTTATACGTTATATGTTTGTAAATTTTAAATTTATTTTAAATGTTTGTGTAACGAATTATTGGATTAGTTGTACAGTAAATAGCCAATAGTAATTATTATAAAAATAATAACACCTAAAAAGAATTTAAATTTAGTGTAAAAGTTTTTTTTATTATTCTCTTAAGCCATTTTTTAATTTTACATAAAACATTCAAAGATATTCCGATCTTTGTGTTCTGAAGTTTGTGTTTAGTTAGCTTTGGTTGGTACTTCTAAATTAATTGATTGATCATATTATTCTATCTTATGGATCATTTGGTCAATATTATTATTTACAATCGTCTATTTACTGTGGAAATAGTTTCAATTGTAAATAATACAAGTGGATTATTATTTTAAAATTTATTCTAAATATTGATGAGTTAATAGTTTATAATTCAAGGAATTATGATAACAGTTTCGAATCCCAGTATTTATTATCAAAACTATCGAAAATGCTCTTGATTAATACAAATATTGTATTGGATGTAAATTTCAATGTTAATTAATTGATTATGATTCAAGTAATGATATATGTATATTCATTTATACATCGCAAGTACTATCCTTAACTATTTAAAATTTTGTTTTAATTTAAATCAGAGTAAATTTTATTTTTTTTTTATGTTATTTTGTTTAGTTTTTATTTTTATTCCTGCTCCAGAGGTGACACAGCAGTTTTAATGTAGTATTTTTTTATGACCATCATTGTGTATTTTTTTATTTTGTTCTAATTATTAACGATGAGATTGAATATTTTAGAGGTTTTAAAAACAGGATTTGTTTTTTTGTATTTTTTCTCATTTTATCATATACGTTTTTTAACTGTTCAATTTTCATTTTTTTTACGTTCAACATGGTATTAATATTTAAGAGTCTGGTTTTAAAAATTGTGTCCTTTTAAAAAAATTAATATTCAAATGTTTGGTTCAAAATAATGTATGATTCAAAATACCAAATTTTGTTCAGCTTTTAGAGTAATGTGTAATTTGGTTCAACATTCTTAAGCTTAATTATTCAGCACACTATTTCAATACAAAAGCAACTTTGACTTTTATTTTAAATTTTACTTTTTGAGTCAGTATAATTTTTTGGCATGTAAGAATTTTACCTTTAGTGTTCGTTAAATTTATCATAATTTGAGTTAAAAAATAAGTTTGTGTGTTTGGATACAAACAGAGTGATAAATCAATAAAGGGCTTATGATTGAGTCTTTGTTAATTAATTGATTATGATTCAAGTAATGATACATAATTTACATGATACATAGTACATGATTACCTTATTATATAATTAGTAGTTTCCCACTGATCAATATTTGAAACTATTATTTTTATAAAAATTCGTGTTCAGAAAAAATTATTCTGTTGCCATTTTAACTAATCGGTAGTATTTTAACCGAAAATTAAACTCCGTCATACCATAAAACGATCGTTTAATCCCGTGTTTCTCGCTTGATGATAACATTGTAAGTTTTAATTAATATACGATAATTCCTCCATTATTTTATTACCATTTGATATGATTTTCGCGTTAGAAAAAAACCATAGTAAACGCAAGCCCGGAATGGTCTTAACTATTTTACGCGCTTGCCATTTTACAATTTATGATATTTGCGTTTTAGGTCATCACTAGTTTAGAATGTGTACCTTTAAATCTAATGTTCGTGTAAAACTTTTGTTTAACCTTTTTTCAAACAAAGTGTTTTAACATAACATTTTTGTCCATGAGATCTAATTGAATATGTTAAATTTAGATAATTAGGAATATATACCAGCTTCTTCGGGTTAGGTTGAATTTGACATAAATTAGTTCAGTTATGTAAACTATGCATACAAGAATGATACAAATGATTATGATTTAAAATTAAATTAATTATCTTTCTACTAAAACCGTACTTTTTGGTACAGTAAATTGTTTGTTTTGGTGATGTTTTTTGTTTTATACATTGCATTAGCTAATTGCATAATTTTATCCAGCCCAAAAGTTTTTCTTGAATCTAGAATTCTCAGTATTCTTGACTACGTCAATTTAAAAATATCCTGTTATAAATTATAGCTGTGAAGTAAGTTTTTTTACGTTAACTATATTCAACTACAAAGCAAAACTAATCTAACTGTTAGTATGTAGAATTTTTCTGAATCTGTATACATATCATTACAAAGTTTTCAGACTTATTGATGAGAAGGACGGACTATTCTCATTGGTCCTGTCTTTAAAGTCCTGGAGACTTTCTGTGGTTCTTCTGATTCTTCCTGCTGAGGTTGAGGATGAAACCTATGACGGAATGAAACTTCTTCATCTTCCTGACGTATTTGCTGATGACGCTGAATCTGCTGGTTTTGCTGATGCATTTGCTGACGATACTGTGTCAGATGTTCTTCGTTTGGGTGTCCATGTCCTTGGGGAGGGGTAGGTCTTTGAGGCGATTGTGGGGGTAACTGTGGGTGTTGTGGATGCATTCGTGGAGGACCTTGTGGTTGATTGGGGTGCATTGGTGGGGGGCCTTGTGGATGCATTTGTGGAGGACTTTGTGGATGCATTTGTGGAGGACCTTGTGGTTTATTGGGGTGCATTGGTGGGGGACCTTGTGTATGCATTGGTGGGGGACCTTGTGGATGCATTGGTGGGGGACCTTGTGGATGCATTTTTGGAGGACCTTGTGGTTGATTGGGGTGCATTGGTGGGGGACCTTGTGGATGCATTTGTGGAGGACCTTGTGGTTGATTGTGGTGCATTTGTGGAGGATGACGAGGAGGACCTTGTGGTTGATTGGGGTGCATTTGTGGAGGATGACGAGGAGGACCTTGTGGGTTATTGGGATGCATTTGTGAAGGATGTTGAGGAGGAACTTGTGGTGGTTGATGACGCATCTGTGGAGGACCTTGTGGTTGATTAGTATGTATTTGTGGAGGACCTTGAGGTGGTTGTTGAGGACGTTGAGGAGGCAATTGTGGATGCTGTTGTGGATGCACATGTTGTCTCTGAGGTAAACCATAATCTTGTTCACTTTCTTCTATATCGTAACCATGTTGGTTTGGTGGACTTGGTCTGTTATACTGAGGAGGGAGTTGCTGTTGGTAAATCTCTTGGGGTTGTTCATCGCCCTGTATTGTTTCCCCGCCATTTTGGCTCTTCATTCCATAAGCCTTTATAAGTGCGTTGATTATATTTGGGCTTAATTCCATTCCGCCGGGTTGAGCGTGTGCTATGCTGAATGAAGCCTGAAAAAGAAAAATCGTAGTAAGGAGTAGCTTGGTTTAATCTTATATTATGGCTTCACTTTTATTTTATACTTAATTGTATTGAGAATGATGAAGGTGGTGTATGGCAAAAATATGTCACTTCAATTAGCTCACTGGTATAAAATTTAGTATAGAAGGAGTATGTTAGTCTTTATTGGGACGATAAAACAACTAGTTGACACAAATAATCAAAATAGCTTTCAAGGGATAGGAAGGCATATTTTCTAAGAACATTCTGGTTGGTGTTTATCCAATTACAAAATCATGATCACGAATGAAAATAATTATAGCAAGTTTCTTATTTATTGAAATCAAAATTCCAGGGAATTCTGTAACGAAATGTCAACCATAAGCTGTGCCAGTGTCCCCGCGTTTAAGATGATTTTTTTTAAGTAATTTCCCCGAAAACATGTAAAATGAAATACACAAAATACCTTATTAGGTAGTTTGAAAAACTTTTGTTTTAATCACTGAAGCATTCCTCTAGCAATGTTTTGGTGCGGTACCAATGGTTATTGACATTGTTTAAAAAATGAAGATTTAGGACTAATTAATCAATCAATTGTGCCTGTATAGTGTTTTCTAACGTGTAAGACAATTAATGATTAATCTTAACAGAAATAAGTAAAATATAATATATTTCACTAAATTGTACTCGATACAGGTTCCTATATGATATAGGCACTGCCTGCTTTAAACACTTTTACTTATATCATTGACTCATTTATCTTACAATGGTTTTGTCTGATATAGATTATCGGCAAAATTACGAAAATAAAGAACACCAAAGTTAGGACTTTTAATCTAACGGATGCACTGAGATTACACAGGTACTAAATAAAACAACAGTCAAATTCTAATATTTTTAACAATCTCACAATTTAATTTACGTTCATATTCATTTATTTTTGTGGCTTTGATAATGTAACTTCATGGAAACCGATTTTATTGACTGATTATTTAGTAAAATGTTTTCGCAGTCGGTAGGACTCGAACCTACGCTCCCAGAGGGAATCTGATTTCTAGTCAGACGCCTTAACCACTCGGCCACGACTGCTGCTGATGATAACGGTGTAAGAACACGAACTTCGACGTTATCGCTTGCTAGGTCCAACATCTTAAATTGCTTTTGGACGATATCAGCATTTTGCAATTTGCTTTATGCTAGCAAATACCTACTCTGCTAGACAACGCAACATAAATATAAGTCTCGGATAACCCAGCAAGTTTTGTAGTCAAACAAATGTAATTACTAACCTAACAAACGACATAATACTGAAGTAATCTCAAATTTGTCACTATACAACTATAATACTACTTAACTGAACTTTTAATTAATATATTTCTCCAAAATAAAATATTACAGGAATATTTACGAATGAAATATGAAAAACAAATATTAGTTTAGCCTTTTCGTGTATGAATGCTATACGTTTCCCAAAAACAAATCCCTGTATGATATTACCTTCATTACTAACAGTTTGTTTTATTTTGATGAGTTTATTTTTACCAAATGACGTATGTGGCCAACTTTATATTGCAATTCTATAAATTATTTGCGACTTGCCAATTCATACAACAGGTAGCCAGCCATCTGTGTGTGTGTGTGTGTGTGTGTTTTCTTTTGTGTGTTTTAAATTTGTAATGGTACTTTTCCTGCTTTACTTAATTTTTGTTGCTATCACGAATACTAGGAAAGACCTGGTATGGATCATATACATAAACAAATGACGTTTTTGGCCCGAAAATAAACAAAACCCCCTATACTAATAGCATTAATTAACTATGGTTTTGTTTAATTTCGGGCCAAAAACGTCATTTGTTTATGTTTATGATCCATACCGGTATTTTTCTAGTATTCGTGGTTGCTATGGTAACCAATTGTTTCTATGGTAACGAACGAATTATTTCTACCAATAAAGTACAGTGGCACGGTGCAGCCTCAACAGCCAAAGTGAAACCTAACTTTTGACTCCCAACTGTTCAATAGTCCTCTTTTTGTATGCTAAAAAATTAACACCATTTTAGCGTCGAGTTTGGGGAAGAGTGGCAAAACTTTTGAAAATTTGCAGTTTTTTTTGTATGATTAATTTTAAAAACATGTTATTTGCAAAGATAATCCAAGACAAATTTCAAACAAGACTGGTTCGTTTTATAATCTTGCTAATTAAAACGTTTACAAAATTACAAATCGTTAAAAGTAGTCATTCTTCAAACATGTATTATGCTTTGAAATATACAACAACTTGATTCCTATAGAAAGAATTTTATCTATACTGTATGATGCTATATTGTGTTTTTAAAAGGCGAATGGTGATTTTAGTTGGGCTGTGAATCTAAAAGTTGTTAATAGTTAGTGACAAGCCTTTGAAGAAATTACAACGCATCGCCTGTCCCTTTTCTTTTCAATGGTCATCCATGTGCATCCCTGAAGAGGAAATGAATCCATTTATATAAATTAATATCAAGAAATGTATAAAAACCTGACGACCACGTCGCTGATGCGATACCAGTGGGAATTCTCCAAGTATCCAAGTAAAGGACGCTACATTTTAATGAGAAAGAAGCTTTATTCCAAAGGCAAACTAGCATTTTCCTTTGAACGAATGGCAATGAATAATTCTCAAAGAGTTATTTTAAAACGTTTTTATTAGCTCGCTTTCTTGTCCGGTAGAAATTTTGCAATCAATTTTATACTAACTTCCCGATGAGCTAGAGACTTGAAACTCGTTGACTTAGAACACTGCAAATAGACATTCCATGAACCAGAATTAAGCCTACCATTGACTTTTTATACTGCAAATATGCATCTTTTTGTATGAACCAAATGTACCATTGACTTTGGATATCTACTGCAAATAGGCATTGGCGAATATCAATGCGAACCAATCATGACATTGGACACTGAAATAGTTCGTCTATTCTCCGCCAGGTGTCACTGACATGAAGGTCCGCAACAGTTCGTCTAATCTCCGCTAGGTGTCACTAGCCTCAACATCTACTAAATCCATCGTAGTTTCTATATTTATTTATATTATAAAGTAAGTAAGCCACAATAAACAAATTTAACTTAGACAAAAAAACCCAGTTAAAACCCAAACAAAAGGACAGTTCTACGATTTGAAGCCGCGCTAGTTTTCAAAGAAAGCTGTGTATCCTGTCATACATTCTCGCAGCGATTTTAGCGTAGCTAGAACATGACTACCCCGTTTGGCCCGTCTGTGATGTTAATAACCGACCCCGGCCGACGATTTTTCCTCAATTTAATTTAACACATTATTTAAAAAGCCGAAAGTCGTGTTCTTAACCTAGGACCGATGATTGGCTTATAAACGAACCAAAATAATCTTCTCGATCATATTATTACTCGGCATCGTACTCGTAAGTAAATTTTGAATGAATGGAATAATCGGGGCCAATTAATAGTCCAATATAAAGTGTTTCTTGACTTTAAATTATCATAAAAGACATCTATATGTTAATAACGTAAGCCGATTCTTTGCGTCAAAATTGTGGGCGACTGGGAAGTCGTAGAATGACGGGAGAGGGCTCAAATTAAATGTCTCGATCCCGTGACGGCGGGAAAAATAGTGAAATTTCCAAAATGTTAACACAAGATTAGATATAACGTGAAATGTTCTCCATATGAATAGCATTAGAAGCCATTTACTGCTGATTTGTGTTTACTTCAATACTGGTCGTGATTTATCATCAAGCCAGTAAGCAATAAAGCTTTGCCTGTATAAATAAATGATTTTTCATTTCATTTCAATATTACATGACATTATGATTACTTATTTGCCGGTCAATTCTGTAATATTATACGTACGTTATTATCGTACTATATAAAATAAGGGATAACGTTACCCTGTAAATAAAACTTTTTAGTTACGTCTTAGAATGTTGAAATCAATTAGTTTACCGTACAGTTTTCAAACTTGTGTAATTTTAAGTAAAATAGTGAAGCGTACGATAAGTAGTAGAATCAGAATCATTCATAGGAGACGAGAGACGGCTCAATTCGAAGGAATTGAACTTGGCTGAAAAAATGAAGTTGAAAGAATGTTTAACCTGAAATAACCACATTGACTAAATAATAAACTATTTAAGATTCAAGATTAAATGTAAAACTTCTGCTTTGTTTTGATCTCAACCCGTATGTTAAGGATTTCTTTTTTTTATATTTACTAACATTTATAATTTGAGATTTATTGTAATCAATATTTTCTATGGAGTGGAATAACCTCAACGGCCACTCTTAGAGAATAAAGATGAAATATGTTAGTGCATGTACATGCAATATATTTGTTCATTACGTAAGTATGTACTATGCTTTCCAATGGGCGGAAAACAAAATTTGTTTAGAGGAGATTTTAACCAGGTACTGCCTATTCATTCGTCTTAATCAACCCCATTCAGAATAAAAACCCTCATAGGCCTACCATCTGTTTCAGTAATAACTTTGGTAATATTTCACTACGTAAAACCTTGACTTTGGATACACATAAGCAGGGTCGATCATGCCGTGACCAGCTGTCGAAATTTTTAATTCATAAATAACTTAGTTCTGTGAGCCAGTCATAGATTGCACTCTTGTCTAAAATTCTATTTTCGTCCTTATACTTTACTAGCTGTAGCCTACCCGCGGGCTTTGCCCCGTTTAACTTTATAAGTGAGCTCGTTCGCATGGCTCAATCACGTCCTGGTTGAAGTTCGTTCGCTACGCTCACTACCTTTTAGTTGCAAATTAGCTGTTGTCATAAATGTAAAAGAAATAATAGTGCTGCACCTAAGCAACACAAGTAGACTCCTTATCCCATTGTAAATTTTGAGCTTGTTTTTTGCGTCTAGTTCATGTACGTCCAAACTGATCGCTAGTGTAGACAACATTTTGTTTCTATTATTTTAGGGTTATTTTAACGATTTGTGCTTTAATATTTGGTTATATAACTAGGAGACCAGTTATTGTTTATGATTATATCGTTTTATTAGGTTAAACAAGGTTTTAAATTACTGCAAGAACAAGAAACAAATTGTAAACAAAACATAACCTCTATAGTTGGACGTACAGAACTAACAATAAAATTGGCTTCAGCTGTTCCATTAGGATGATTAATCTACTAAGGGAGTATGTTTTATCTATGGCTGCACCCTGTTGGTAATCATTGTAAATTTAAAGCTATTGAACATCATAGAACATAACCAACTTGTTTAATTGAAACAGCTGTTAAGATTCATTAATTCCATTTAAATATGAGTAGGCCTACACATAAGGTTAACATGGGAGGGAAACTCCAGAGCCACTGGGGTGGAGCCCGAGAGTCCGATCAGAATAAAAACAGCTTAGTTTTCCTATAGAATCAGTGTACCAAATTTCAGCCTCCTAGGTAAATGGGAAGTAAGATAATTAGTGATGAGTGAGTGAGTGAGTGAGGGCCTTTTATATATATATAGATTACCGAGATATTGCATGGGCATAACATATACTGTTTGACTTGCTTGAAAAATCCTATTCAGAAATCAGTGGTTTACATCAGCGCAACCTGTCGGTGGCTCACGTCAACTACATCCATTTTGGAGACATATTTAACATGGAATGCAATCTTAAACTAAAGTGATGAATAGTTTTACCTTTATTAACAGAAAGAGCAGAAGATAAAGTTGCATGATTGTGGTGTGGGTTGGCGTTGAAGTTGACGGTTGACGGTTCTACTGCTGAATGATGTGACGTTCGTCCTTCATGGGCTCCTTGTTTGTTTTACATCTAAGGTCTCGCCGCCACGACCGTGCTAATCTCACGTATTGTGACGTGAAAAGATCAATTACACGCAAAACGTCATCTCAAACGTAAATATTTTGTGAACTCTCCGCTAGGAACTTTTCATGGCAGTGTGTAGGCATATCATTGTTTTTGTTGCACAACTAAAACATGATTATTTGTAGAAAACATTGGGGTTGGTGACTTTTGTTAGATTGTTACATGGATTAAACCATAGATAAAACATCAAGGGAATCCATCCTTATGGATCACCTAAAGACAATTTTATTGTTAGTCCTGCCCGGTGCACTAGAGGTCGTGTTTTGTTTACAATTAATTTCTTGTTATTTTAGTCATTCAAAACCTCGTTTAACCGAATTCCCCGTCGCAGCAAACCTGCAGACTAAGCTAGCTTACCATCTGCCTGATTTAATTTTCAATTAAGCCCATTTCAATAACATCACGTTTCACGTTTAACGATTACCTAGGTTTGCTGCTACAGGGAGGGTAAGTGTTGAATCAAAATATAAATAAATAAATAAGGTCTTTATTTCCAAGCGTTCATCAAAGTACAAACTCTGTTTTTCATGACAACTTTGGTCCAATTAAGTAAATAAAACAATACAATAGTCTATTCATAAAATAAAAAATAAAATTATCTATACAGTTTAGGTAAACATTTCCTTTACACATTTCTTAAACCTATTACAACTGTACTCTTTTAAAGTGGGTGGCAAAGCATTGTACTTTTTTGGGCCAAAGAAACTAAACCCCTTCTTCCCCGTTTCCAGTTTTGTCTTTGGCAAGTGCAACAGGCTGTCCTGTCGAGTACTGTGTTCACTTATTTCATGTCTAAATACCAACTTTTTCCTAAGGTATTCAGGTTTTCCCGTCTGAAGAACTTTGTGGACCAGATTAACAGTTTGTATGTCGGAGTACCCCATGATTGACAACACCTTGGCACTCAATCTGTGCTCACTAATGTGATCAAATTTTTTCAGATTGTAGACAAATCTAAGCACTCTGTTCTGCAGCCGGGTAAGGATCATCAGATTTTCCTGAGTAAGGCAACAGGAAAAAGCAGGAAGAGCATAGTATATAACAGGAAAAATGGTTGAGCGGACAATTTCCAACTTAGAAAGTTCTGCCAAAATTGAGCTTAGTCTGCGAAGAGTTTTCAAACGTATTGTTACTGTTTTACAGATAGCTTTGACATGGTGAGAAAAATCAAGTTGTGAATCAAGAGTGACACCGAGAATCTTAAGAATATTACTTGAAATCAGTGGTTTTCCATCAACAAAGATACACTGTTCAACACAACTATTCACTGAGTGGGCACTAGAAGATGGCCTATCTACAAGCAAGACAGAACACTTACTGGAGTTCAATAGCAAACCATGGTCATTCGACCATCTATTTACACTCTCTAAATCATTGTTGATACAACGAATATAACCTTAAACAAGCAAACTACAACAGTTTAATCTTATTATCCATAAGAATAACATGGGAATTTTTAATTTACATTTTTTATTTTTCTCTGTGACCAATAACTAAACGTACAAAACCACTTCATGATACTAATTTTTTTTAAGCTCTTTAAAACGGTTTGGAGAGATATTGGAAACTTTGATGCTTTTAAAAAAAAAATGAGAAAAACCAATTCTTTACCCCATAAAGCCCCGTTCCTATGGTCTGATAATGCTGGTTTGCGAACTTGTTACTGTTAGACAAAATGTAGGTTTACACATGTGTACCAAATTTAATTGAAATCAGATTATTTTTGCTCAAGTTATGAATTTGAACTGATGGTGTTTTGGCCTCTAGGGACATCAAAACGAAAAATAAATCGGCCCTGGGTCCAGGTCTTACTGAGAGACCTACGGAAATAGCTTAACTACTCACTCCTGCATTTGTTTTAAAAAATACACCTCCCCTCCTGAACGGCTAATCCGCATGGAATTTAGCACAGTTATAGTAACCAACTATGGGAAGGTATAAATCTGAAATGGCAAAAATCGGACTACAGGGGTTTCTCAACGTGAATTAACATTCTTAGAAATTATTTAACATGGCCCTTATGGGTTTATTGGTCGCCATATTTGCAAGATAGCAATACATAGGTAAACAAAAGAGTCGTAACAAGTAGTCAAATACAGATCAAAAGAGAAGATCAATCGAATAATATCGTTGAGCATAATTTACTACAAAATTGATAATTAATTGGGTTCAACAGTTAGGATAATGCACCATTGATTTCAGATACTCCAAACAGCCATTCCTTTTTGGAACCAATCTCATTTATGTGAACCAAATAATCCACTGACTTCAGATATACTGCAAGTAGGCATTCCATTTACGTGAACCAGACACAATACAATTGGACGCAACTTTGGAATAGACATCAGAACAATTTCAAAACTAGCTTGTCTTAGTTCCTAACAACTTAGGAAAATACAAAAAGTGACATTTTCTAATTTTAACCCCCAATAACATACTAATTTTTTGAGAAAAAAATTATTTTAAAATGGCTATAGCTAAAAAACTAAATATTAAAGAATTTTCACAGTCAGAAATTAAATGTTGTAGAAAACGCTCTTAGGCGTTTCCAAAAATTGCCCCCTTCACCCCCAATTGACTTGGATACTGCAAATTAGACATACAATTTATGTGAACCAAGATGAACATTGACTTTGAATGTGCAAGTAGACAATTCATTTGAATGAACCAGATGTAGTATTGACTTTGTGTAATGCAAACAGGCATCTCGTTTAATGTGAACCGAATAGATAATTGACTTTGGATACTGCAAAAAGGCACTTTATTTTAGTGATCCAAATATACCAATTGACATTAGATAGGGCAAGTAGACAATTAATTTATGTAAACCTAAACCAAATACCGATATACCACTAACTTTGAATACTGCAAGTAAATTTCTCATTTATGTAAACCATATGTACCATTGACTAATATACATATAATCCATATGCACCATATTGCATGTTGATATCTCATTTACAAGAAACAGATGAAGCATTGACTATGGATACTGCAAGTAGACACCTCATTTGAAGCAGATATACAATTGACTTTGAAAACTGTAAGGAGAAATCTCATATTAGCCTGTGTGAACTAAATATAGCATTGACTTATGACACTGCAAAATACACTTCCCACTTACATTAACCAGAAGCAGCATTGACTTTGGAAGAGTATTGGATTGATATGCTAGCTCCACTCAATATTGCAAGCAGACTTTGCAGTTCATTGTACACCTAGTAATTAGACCTTATCAGTGACTTTTGGGACCTTAAAATAAAAATATGTTACTTTTTAGTGGCTTCTGTGACCGGTTGACACCTGTTACACTTGAGTAACATTTTGAACCCAAACCCCAACTATGGTTTTCAAAGTCAATTAGATGAATAAAAAAAATTCTCAGAGATAAAAGTCAAGAATTACCAACTTCAGAGCAGTAATAATTAATAATAATTGTAAAGTCGAGTGGTTTGGTTAATAAGCTTGCCTTGAACTCTGAAGATGACTGGTTCGATTCCAAGCATGATTTATTTAGTTATTTAGTGTAGTAGTTAGTGGGCCTAGTGGCCCAGATGCCACTTGTCATTGGTCTGTCATTAAGGTTGACATTAGATAGTTAACAAGACCAGGATTTGTACAGTTCCCTTACAAAATACTATTTAAAATTAAATTAACAGGGAACTATTACTGGATCTTTATTGATCTGGCAACAGCAATCTGCAAAGAAGACAAAATGTCAAGTCGATACCGAGTATTAAATAATATTGTTTGAATACATACATAACAGGCTCAAGCTATTATTAACCTAAAATCAAAATACAGACACCAACTTCAGCTTTAAACTAAAAGGAGAAACAAGGAAGTCAAAAGTATAATAAAACAATGCCACAACTTGTATTTATTCAATAGCAGGTCATGACAGAGTAAAAAATTAAGCCTATTTGCCCTTCTTGGCCTTTATCTTCCTCATGTAGAATTCCAGTTCTTTGCCTTCGAGGATATATCCGTCGGCTCGACCGCATTGTCCTGGTCTGCTCGAGATACAGGCTGAAAATTCAAAGTTACAATTAGATTGGGCGAAATAAATACTTTATACTAGGTATTTAAGCCAAGCATTGGAAATGAATGAGTGTTAGTGTAGGATGAGTGGCGTGATCATTTAGTCTTGTTACTGTCTAAGGCCGATTTGTTCCTTAGACAACCTATTGGTTAAAAGCCTATACAGCAAATGACAAATAAGGGACCTTAAGTTTATAGTGAAATCCGAACCATATTTTTGCCTTGTAATTTACAAATTGGTCTAATTATCAGGATAGTCGAAGTATACTCACTTGTTTCACAACAGGTAGTATTGCATCCACAGATCATACCTTCAAAATTTGGTCCTCCTGAATTACAGGACGACACCACAACCCCAGTGTGTACAATTTTTTTACACCGTACAATAAAAAAAATTAACAACAGTAAAATACTTTGAGACTGCACTCAGTGTAACTATGACAAAGCACATCACCGATTGATGTCTACATCAAAACGAAGTAAACGTGATTCAACCTCAAGCTGTTTTAATCATCATTGTGCAGTTATGTAATCTCAAAATATTTGATCCTCTGATAAAAGTTATAGCAATAACTTATTTAAAGATTTTGTTATATTTACGTTGTTTTTAGCTTTAAGCAAAATAGTTGAACTCAAACATAATTGAATTAATTGACAGGAGACGATGATGGTGTCTACAAAACCATGGGGGATATTCAAGATTTTGCCACTATCACAGAAGAGAAGATGGGGAGATACCACAACCATGGGGATTATGCTGCTCACAGAGGATGATGGTGATGGCTACGCAGCCACGGGAGATTTTTAAAATTTAACGCAATCACGGCTTTGACCTTCTTTAAGCAATTCTTATTACTGTATTTATAGGTTTTTGAAATGCTTTGTGTTGGCAATATGCCACTTTGGTTCTCTGTACTTAATTTCTACTGTGAGAGTAAAACAAAATAATGGCAATCTTCAAAAATGCACTCAGTGTAACTATGACAAAAGCGCATCATTGGTTGGAGCAAACATCAAAACGATGGAAGCTTGGTTCAACCTCACGCAAGCTGATCATCATCGTGCATATTTTATCGTTAAGAAAGAGTACCTCATATCATAGGTAATTTTCAACATTATTTTGGCTATTTTATTGTTATAGGTATTCAAATATCAAAGCGCAAAATTAAGAGCAAAGAGCAAAATTAAGGGAAATCACAAACTTTTAAGTTTACATTGGCATCAGGACGTTAGAGGTGAAAGAGATTCTTCATAGAAATCTGTAATGAAAGATCATCATTTGCCAATTAAACTTTTTTCTAAGATTACAACTCTTATGAGGATTTTATGGATAATGTGGATAATCTAAAGAGGTCATTCATAGTATTACACTATGAATGTAAAGGTGAAGAAATGCATTTTTTTAAAGGAGTGAAAAAACGATAAAAAAAACTATGTTTAGTCTATTAAAACAACAATTCAGGTAAGCTTCAATAATTAAAATTGTGTCATCAATTTCGCCTTTGAAAAATAGCCTAGCATCATATGGCTCCAGGAAGTATTTAGTTTTAGTTGTTTAGAACTTTAAAGGTTACTACTGCAAGAGGTATGTCAGGCTTAAATAATACTGAAAAAATAGCAACTGTTGTAGATATTGTAAAAATATTGTAGGGCCTATTATGTTAAGATCTTCACATTTAAAACTTCCAACATTGGCATCAGGACGTTAGAGGTGAATATGAAATCTTCACAGAGGTCCGTCTAATAGAGGTCATCATTTGCCAATAATTCTAGACTCCAGAATCGGTATTACAATGATAAAATGAATTGTTCTATAATTGTTAACCAAACAAAATACTAAGTGTGTTTCATTAGTTCAAACTAGGAAAAAATCAGTTTAAACACCGTACCGCTACTAATGTAGTGAAATAAGGAAACTTTTTGATTAATTGTTTAAAAGATATTTGATCAAACTATACAACACAAATTTTATTTATTTATGGCATCAGGACGTTAGAGGTGAAAAAAGTAATTCATCAATAAAATTATGAGAATCATATGTCATCATGTGCCATATTATTGCAAAATAAATAAGTAGTGTGCCCCACGCTGTCACGTGGATGTCATCATCGTCAACAAAATCCTTGATAAGATTCACAGTCTTGTAGACATCACTATCGTCACCTGCAATAGCAGTAAAATTTTGGTCTCTTTGCTTAAACCCAGTAAAAACAACAACCGACTTTAAAACCGACCCATTCTTTCTTACAACCTTGTTCTGTCATCAAGTAGCACTTTATGAAGTATTTACTGTAAAAAAAAAAACTTCTCAAACCTCGTGCACAACAGAATAGCTTTGACATGACATTTAAATTTTTTTTCCATTTAAAATTTTATTTTATTTTACATGCTATCTGACCTTACCACCAATAACACACCACTAACTTGCACTAGAGACTCCACTGTGCTTATGTTTACTTCTTCACATTAAGCTCACCTAACACTCTAGCAGTTTGGAACTGTTCCTCAAGTGCCTGCTCCACCTTTGCCAGTCGCTGCCTTGTCTTGTATTTTCTGTCAACCTTCTTCGACCTCTTCTTGTTCAGCATCGCTTCCTCCTGCTCAGTCTGAAACAAAACGAGTAAACATTAATGATCCCATCTGACTGAAATCTGGCTAGCAGAAAGCAGAATGAAATGGAAGAAAGACAGATGCTGTGACAAATCTACCGAGAATTGAAGGGTTTCTTGTCCCACTTTCACATTCTAGGGCACCTAGAACCATTTTAACATGACCAAAGGTCAAAGGTCATGTGTGACCCTAGAGGGTCACAAAAAAATTCATTGGTGATTGGCAGGATTTGAACCCAGGACCTCTGGGACTAAAGCCTCGAGCACTACCATTGAACCAGCTTGTTCTCATCATACATAAAGATTTGAAGCACTCAGAATGATTTTGTTGACATCAACAGTATCAGTAAGAGAGAGTTCAAAAGAACCATCATAGTGCAAAATCTTATGTTGGAAAAAATATGAACTTTAGAAAAATATTAGAAACATGTGTGATAGAACTAAATAAATCTTTGATGGTATCAGAAGGTTGAGAATGATAAAATTATGTGAGTTGTGTATTTTTCATTGTCATGTCAGGTTATAAAAAAAAACTGCTTATGTTTACACTAACCAGGCCTACCTAATCAATAACTTTGGCAAATTTAAACTGGAAACTTACAAAGCCAAAACACGCATTAAGTTTAAAAACAATTCAAGAGTAAAAGTACGAAATTATCAATTTAAAAGCACTCAGTATTGAAAGGCTTACATCAATGCCCTGTCAGAAAGAGAGAGTTCAATAACTTCATCACAGTGCTTGTTAAATATTAAGTACAATGTCAATGTCATGAGTGAGATAGAATAATTCAACTTTGAATCTTATTCATTAAGTTGATAAATGCATTTAGATTTTCATGTACCGCACCTAATATTGGTTTGTTATTAATTTCAGTCGATGAAATTAACTGTGAAGGTTAAATGGTAAACAATTATTTAGTCATCCTACTGTTAAATAGTGAGAAAAATCAGTTCAGATTCTTTAAAGCACTCAGATCGCTGTGGGATAGGGTTGTCATCAGTTCATTCAGAACATTTAAGTTATCATCATTGTGCTAATACTTGTAAAAAGTACCAAATAATTATTCAAACAAAATGTGTATCCAAGGTCAAACTAACATACATCTGTACAGCTACATCGGCATCATCCTCAATTTACCATGTATTTCATTTTTAAATAATTCAGAAATGTGATAGTCTACCTCGCTTCATTGTCAAAATTATGTGTATAAGTACCCAAGTATTTTCGCAATTTACAAAAAAGTTTACAGCTTAAAATTTGTTCAATCTAACTTAGTTCAATTTTTAAGAAAATTTAATTCATTAGGCACTCAGATCGCTGTGGGATAGGGTTGTCATCAGCTTTTTCAGAACATTGTGTATATCATCATAATGCCAGTTAAATATATATAGAAATCTAAAAACAAATATTGGATGTTGGTATTGTAATACATTTTGGTGAATGACTTGGTTGAGGTAGCCTTATCTTGTCTTTGACATCATAAAACATGAAAGCCAGCTGGGCCCTGTTTCATAAAAATACTAGTCTAGTAATTACTAGTCTAGTAAATACTAGTCCCGTATTTACCCGTCCTAGTAATTTGTGTTTCATAAACGTTTTTATACCGCTAGTAAATAATAGTGTATTTTACTAGTCACGTGACCAAAACTACTAGTCACGTGACCAACTTTACAAGGTAAACTTTCAAAACAAATTTCTAACCTCAATCACGGGTTTTCTGGCGCTTTATAAGGGGTTTAAATTTTGTTTACATTAGATACAAAAAGTAAATAGGTGTAGAAACGCAGTGTTTTCTTTGAATTAATAACTATATAGACACATAAGTAAAACAATCACATATTATTTATCAAAACGCTATTACTTATGTTCATCAATTACCCCGCCGACGGCGCGGCGCGGCGTCGCGTCGCTGCAATCAACACGGTGATTGTAGTAGCCGGTTGTAGGCTTAGTTGCGGCGCTCAGCAGTTGGGTGGAAATTGATCTGTTGCTGCCGCATTTGCTGTGATTTGTATAGTTTTTGTTTAATTCTGACATATAAAATTAAGCTTGCTATGAGTAAAGAAATGAAGGCTCAAATTTTGAATTTAATTAAATCGTCTAAGGACATTTTGTTAGGAACGTTTTCAAGTACCCTAACCTATGTTTTCAAATATTCGAAAATTTGCATAAGAATATTTGGGTTAAAAACCATCCTGTGATATTCTAATTTTGAGTCTACAAACCATGAATAATAAGCCTAAACGTTTATTGATGTAACAAATAATTGCAACGCCGTTACAAGCAATGGAAAAGTAGGTTTTCAAGTATAGTAAAACATGGCATATATACGCTATTGCAGGGCGTAGCTCAGAGGTAGAGATTTCGCTTCTCATGTGGTGGGTCCCTGGTTCAAATCCACACCACTCACTATACTTTAGTTCCATTAATTAAACTTTTACATGTTTTACATTAAAATAACAGCTCTAATCAACATCTAATTTTTTTTATTACTTTGAATAACAAATTCGGAATACCAAAATAGATTAAAAGTAATGTTTTTATGATAAGCAGTTCAGTCCAACGCCCAAAAATCAAATATAAGCCTACAAAATTGTTAGTACATCACAGGGTTTTATCTATTTAGGGAAGCAAATAATAAGCACCTCAAAAAATACAATGCAACTCCTCTTTAAAATTGTCATACTATTATTTCCTATTAACATGTCTTTAAATAAAACCAAGAGCCTTGGGTGTAAAATAATGTGATAAATGTTGCAATGTTGGATACATTTGTTACATCTTTGTATGCAATACGGTATGAGGTTTTAATTTGGTTTCTCTCAAAGCTGAAACATATTTTCTCTGTGATAGCTAAATAGTTGATATAACCATGAAATTTAACTCAAGTAAAATTATACTAAAATTTCACAGAAATTGATAACTTATAATTATAATTAATTCTAATAGGGCGATTGTACATACATTATAAAATTCAATTTCACTCATTTTGTACTACGCCAAATTTATTAATTGTAATTTACATCTAATAATAATTATCATTTTAGCACTCACAGATCTATATTTATCTTAAATTACAAACGTGAGCCAATTCGCACTTGCAAAAAGAACTTAATAATTCATTTTTTTTAAATGATGTGAGTAATGAAATAACTCTCTTTCCAAAAATACTAGTCTACTTCAAATAATACGGGTGTAGAGAGGTTGTTAGAAAATTGCAAGTATTTACCAGTGTAATTTACAAGAGTAAAACTTTATGAAACACATTGCTGCCTACACTAGTAAAAACCACTAGTAATACTAGTCCCTACACTAGTAACTAGTATTTTACACTAGTAGGTTTATGAAACGTAGACTTGTAAAATACACTAGTATTACTAGTCCATGGACTAGTAAATACTAGACTAGTAGTTTTATGAAACATGGCCCTGGAAGTGTTATTGAGGATGGCAATTTAACTAGGAAATGCATCTAATCTTAGAAATATCATTCAGAAACAAGTCAAATAAAATCATCAAGTACTTATGGTAAGACTGGATTTCTACTTACTTTTTCTAGAGTTAGGTAATTTCCAAATAGGCAAATTACACTTAATTTAATTAATTTAATAACTATTGTATTTTAAAATATTTGAGATCAGTAATAAATAGGTTAGTAATGTTTATTTGAGTTTGGATAAGGACATTTTAAGTTTGGCTGAAATTTATCAGCGATCAAATTGCAACCAGCCTTACAATGGCATCAGGACGTTAGAGGTGAAAACTGTTGATTCATCAAAACAATTATGATCACTATAACTCATCATTTGCCATGGCAAAGGTGGATGAACAATCGCGTGGCTTTATGGATAGATTTAATTTAAAACAGGAAAAATCTGTGAAATTTTCAGTCTCAACAAAAGTCACCAAGTACAGTAGTCGCAGCTAGTCTGGGCGCGCGGACCCTTGTGTCCTAACCGTCCCCCACGTCAAAGCCATGAAGACAGCGCTGAGGCGCTGAACAACCCCAGAGAGCCGTGTGGGCCAGATGTTTTTGGAAATGAGCGATAAACACTCCCCTCTACACCCCCCGCCCTAGCGCGGCCGCGTGCCCAGACTAGCTGCGACAACTGTAGTTATCTTCACCTTATGTAGGAAGTGAGGATAGTAGTATGTAACAACCATTCTCATCCGTGTGGGAGATATAAATTATTGCAAAAGCTGTTTTTCGTAAGTAAAATATTAAATTTGCCAAGTCCTCCTATTAGAGTGCTATACTACTACACATGTAAATAGCTTAGCGACCAGCGAGATTACAAAAAATCAAAGTATTAAGTCTTTAGAGAAGGAAAGCTGATGTTACTTATCTACATGGTGGGACTTAAAGGAATAAACTGTTCAGACTCAACATACAGTCAATACAAAAATTTAAAAAAACTGAAAATACATGGATCTTGAGAGAATTGAATTTATTGGGCACTCAGATCGCTGTGGGATAGGGATGTCATCAGCGTTTTCAGAATATAAATACAGTATCATCATTATGCCAGTAAAATATTTAAAAATGTAAAAACAGGCTCTTGGATGTACTTAAGTGTTATCATCTAGAAGTGCATACTATGTAAATATAAATAGGCCTAAACTTGAAATTGTATGTTTTTATATGTTTAACGCAATAATGTTTGGTCTGACAACAGAACAAGTGAAAGTAGAAGTGTGAAAAGAATTGAGGATTAAAATTTAATTTAATCCCAATAATAACAATACATTTAGATCAGTTGTCTGGGTTCTAGATGTTAGTTTATGCTATGAAAATTGAAACACATTTCAGTGAAACATTCTTCGAGTAACCCATTGTGTTTATGCTTTATATTGTGTACATATAATTAGTTTGTAACCCTCATACACATTACTTCAATCTTATATCGGATTCCTTTTTAACCAGTGTGGAGAGTAGCCTTTAAGCTTCGGACTTAGCCTAAAAATCTATAAAGTTACTGTTTTAGTTTAATCATCAG